GCTGAGGAGTGAAAGGCTAAGCCTCAAAGCTGCCCAGTGGCATCTGATGCTCACTGGACCTAATGGGGTATATGGAAAGCTCACTGGAGATTAAGCAGTCAGTACTTACTTGCTAGTAAGGTTCTCTGCTGCATATTCTGTGTACTCCCATTGATGGTCTAAATAGAAGGTATGGGGCAGGGGGGACTAAGTGAGCAGTGCCCCATCTGCCCAGACAATAGGGCAAAATCTGGCTCTCACCTTCCCTTAATACACTGCCTCTCCCCCCAATGCAATCTGGCACTATAATTTTTTGGAGCAAGGTGCCTCTTCCATTTGACTTGGTCCCATCTGATTCCATGAGTCTTGGGGTAACCTTTGAAGGCACACAATGCAGCAATCACACTGAAGCTGAACAGGGTTGGGTCTTGACAGGAAATGTCATATATGCCAGCTTAAGCTGCTTGAAAGAAGGAAGGCAAGAGAGAAATGTGATTAATAATATATGTAAGTTATACTTTAACATGTTCATCTGGGACCTTGTGGCTCCCTGATAATGCTTTGTGGTTAACATGTCTGTCCATGATAAGAGCCTGCTTTTGGTTTTAGCTGGAGTTAAAAGCAGCAAGCAAGTATGGCATGGCAAATCTGATTTTCTAAAAATGAACGCTTCAGGGAGGCGACCCAGAGGAGGTTTTCCCAGTGGGTATAGGATTTTTTAGATCTCCCCTTGAAAGGCTAGAAGTCAGAGAGGCAACAGAGAGGTGCTCTCCTGCAAGGAAAGATCTGACCTCAGATACAGTCAGAAAGAGAGAAAAGGAAGCCCTCAGGAAATTGAGCCAAGAATATGCCAGGAACAGAGGCTGACAAATTCCCTTTTGAATGAGCTTCATTCATTTGTTACTCATAATGGGATCATAATGGGGTCATAATGGGAATTTGTGTGAAACAAATTCATTGTCCTAATTTATGACAATGTTCAAGGTTTGTTTGCTTGTTTTTGCCTTATTTATTGCCTTACTTTCTGATTTCCCCCGCCTTTCAAACAAGCCACCTTTAGGAAATGATGTTGATATTGGGGAAAATCCCTGTTAAAATAGTTCTAAAAATCTCTTGAAATATCCCTGAAAAGTAAGGTTTAAAAATAACTAGGTGCTACTTGTTACGTGAGTGAAATAATGGCATTCCTATTCCTTACCTTATTTCTGACATGTCATTTCAAATGTAATCCCCCTTATAGGAAAAGAAAAAGTAAATGCTTAGGGTTAACTGTGTTGCTTGGCTAACAGAGGTGGTCCTACGAGAAGCCCTTGCTCCTCCCTTCCTATTACTTGCTGGACTCAAGGTGACGGGGCTCCAATATCACAGCTCTCCAGAATAATAGGCAGGAGTGGGAACTGCTCAGGCACACTTATCCAAGCTCTTCAATCGGAAAGAGGCCAAGTGTACCTCTCTTGGAAGAGTTCCAGAACAAAGGAGCTCCCAGTAAGAAGCCTTTCTCCTTTTCCAAGGCACAGTAGAACTCGAACTCAAGACAACCAAAGCCCTGTAAGTTTCAGGGAGCAGCATCTTCTCCTGTCCGGTGAGGTCATGTGCCTCCCCTCTAGGCTACTCAGTTCCTTCTGAGCTGCTGTGAGGAATATAATACACCCAGGAACAATATATTTTGGGCACTTCTCCCTATTATTATGCAAAGTATATCCATCATTACGACCCACTTGCTAATCGATCTAACTAGAGTTAGATCGATTGACTCTGTGGAATTCACATGTTTATTTACCTTGCAGTCATCCACTCATGGGGTCTACCGTATTTAGGTTTAGCAACAAGATACTGATGGAAATGAAAATTTCTGAAACGGTGTAGATTTTGGTTTTAAAAAACTGATTGTAAGAAATGTTTTAAAACTATTTTATTTAGCCATTATTTTCTCTACTGTGATATAGATTGTTGCATTGTACACATGCCCACAAGGAGCAGAAAAGCAATTTTAAATAATTTAAATAAATGAATAACTCATGTGATAAGCTGGTTAGTATTCTCTAACCCAGTTTCTGATTATGTACTCTAGTTACTGTATTGTTAAACAATTAAACACATATTTACAGTTGCATACTACTATATTTGCCCTGGGCATAAATTGTACTGCATTCAAAATTAAAGGAAGGGATGGTGTGTAGACATGGCCCTTGTTACTGTGAGGCAGAAATTTCCAATATGGCACTCATAGGTTGTACTAAACTTCAGATCCCATTATCCAGAGGCTGTTAGCTATGAGCAATGGGGATTGTAGTCGAAATGTTTGGAGAGTACGAAATCAGTGAAGGTTGCTATGGCTATTTTAAAAAGAGGAAATTAATCTCACACACAAAAATTATTTTTTTCGCTTAGAAACTTTTCTATTTTAAATGACTTGAAATACAGATCTGTATGAGATGTTTTTGTCTGTTTATTTCTCCAAATATCCTTATAATATATCCATCAGCTGCTAAACCTTTTCTCCAGAACACTATTATTGATTTATTGATTTATTGATTTATTGATTTATTTATTTATTTATTTATTTATTTATTTATTTATTTATTTATTTATTTATTTTATACCCAGCCTATCTGGTCAATGTGACCACTCTATGTCCTCACTCTACTGAAATCTCATTTACTGAAATCTGAAATGGATTTACATTACATATTTCCATAAAGTTCAGAGCACAGTGCTATGCTTTTTGCTACATATCTGTCAAATTCTGCTTCCAAAAGTATGCAATCTGAATCTGAAATCTGGCCCTGTTTCAAATGTGTACAATATAATTCAGTGCATGACTTCCTTCACCTCCAGCCAGATAGAGATGAGGCAAAGAGGTGAGGTTTCATGCGCACCACTCAGATTAATGGGCCAGCGAGCGGCCTGGGAATATCAGCTTGCACTGACTGGCTGAGAGTGTTTAAACAGAAGAGTGGTTTTGTGAGGATTGTGTGTGCCATCTGCCTGCAGTTTGGCAGTCACTCTTTTTTTAAAAAAGTGTTAAAAGACTGCTAAAAGGGCATTGTCTAAACTCCCTCCAAATCTGAGATACCTAGAGAGATACATAGAGAGGTGGCCAATGGCTACTTAGTGGCAAGGATTTGAGAGAGAAAGAGAGCGCACAAATCATTGGCACTTGGACCATTACCAATATATTGATACCTATACTTATTCTGTAAATAGCACAGCGTATATGATACTGTCATTCTAATTCTCTTTTACAGTAATTGAAGTAATATCAACTGTGGGTCCTGACGGGAATTTTTAGCGTATATATTTTAATTTAATTTTAATTGTTTAATCTTTTTATTGAATTTTAATTGTTGTAAGCGGCCCAGAGACCTTTGGGCAGTGTGGGTGGTAAATAAATAAATAAATAAA